CTTCGACAAACACTTCATCTTTCTTCTTGGCATTTATTTTGGCCTTTTGCTGTCTTTTAGGTTAGTAGAGTTGATAAAAGGCTGCCAAACACTATAAAAATTCTTCCTTGGTTTTCGGCTGATGATATATTCATTACATTGAGATAGTTGTATGGCCTGTTGTTGTTAGGTGCCATCCAGTTGATTCCGACTCATAGTGACCATGTGTACAACAGAATGAAACACTGCCCGGTCCTACGTCATCCTCACAATTTTTGCTATGTTTGAGCCCATTGTTTGCAGCCACTGTGTCAGTCCATCTCATTGAGGGTCTTCCTCTTTTCCACTGACCCTCTACTTTACCAAACATGATGTCCTTCTCAGGGACTGGTCCCTCCTGATAACATGTCCAAAGTATGTGAGACGAAGTCTCAGAATCCTCACTTCTGTGAAGCATTCTGGCTGTACTTCTTCCAAGACAGATTTGTTCGTTCTTCTGGCAGTCCATGGTATTATATTCCTTATTCTTTGCCAGCTCCATAATTCGAAGGCATCAATTCTTCTTTGGTCTTCCTTACTCATTGTCCAGCTTTCGCATGCACATCAGGCGATTGAAAATATCATAGCTTGGGTCAGGCGCACCTTAGTCCTCAAGGTGACATCTTTGCTTTTTTAGCACTTTAAAGAGGTTTTTTGCAGCAGATTTGCCCGATGCAATGTGTCATTTGATTTCCTGACTGCTGCTTCCATGGGCATTGATTGTGGATCCAAGTAAAATGAAATCCTTGACAACTTCAGTATTTTCTCCGTTTATCATGATGTTGGTTATTGGTCCAGTTGTGAGGATTTTTCTTTTCTTTATGTTGAATACTGAAGACTGCAGTCTTTGATCTTCATCATTAAGTGCTTCAAGTCCTCTTCACTTTCAGCATGCAAGATTGTGTGATCTGCATAACGCAGGTTATTAATGAGTCTTCCTCCAATCCTGATACTGTGTTCTTCATCATATAGTCCAGCTTCTTGGATTGTTTGCTCAGCATACAGATTGATTAAGTGTGGTGAAAGAATAAAACCCAGACACACAACTTTCCTGATTTTAAACCACGCAGTATTCCCTTGTTCTATTTTAAAGACTGCCTCTTGGTCTGTGTACAGGTTCCTCATGAGTGCAATTAAGTGTTCTGGAATTCCCCTTCTTCACGGTGTTATCCATAATTTGTTATGATCCACACAGTCAAATGCCTTGCATAGTCAGTAAAACACAGGTAAACATCTTTCTGGTATTCTCTACTTTGAGCCAAGATCCATCTGACATCAGCAGTGATATCCTTCATTCCACATCCTGTTCTGAATCCAGCTTGAATTTCTGGCAGTTCCCTGTTGATGTACTGCTGCAACCACTTTTGAATTATTTTCAGCGTAATTTGACTTACATGTGATATTAATGATATTGTTCAATAATTTCCGCCTTCTGTTTGCATCACTGTTCTTTGGAATGGGCACAAGTATGGATCTCTTCCAGTCAGTTGGCCAGGTAGCTGTCTTCCAAATTTCTTGGCATAGACAAGTAAGTGCTTCCAGCATTGTATCTGTTTGTTGAAACATCTGAATTGGTATTCTGTCAATTCCTAGAGCCTTGTTTTTCGCCAATGCCGTCAGTGCAGCTTGGACTTCTACCTTTGGTACCATTGGTTCTTGATCATATGCTGCCTTCTGAAATGGTTGAACGTTGACCAATTCTTTTTTGTACAGTGACTGTATTCTTTCCCTCTTCTTTTGATGCTTCCTGCATCAATATTTTGCCCATAGAATCTTTCAGTATTGCAACTTGAGGCTTGAATTTTTTTTTTTTCAGTTCTTTCAGCTTGAGAAATGCCAAGTGTGTTCTTCCCTTTAGGTTTTCTAACTCCAGATCTTTGCACATTTCATTATAATACTTTACTTTGTCTTCTAGAGCTGCCCTTTGAAATCTTTTCAGCGCTTTTACTTCATCATATCTTCCTTTTGCTTTAGCTACTCTATGTTCAAGAGCAAGTTTCATTGTCTCTTCTGACATCGTTTTGGTCTCTTTTTTCCTTTTCTGTCTTTTTAATGATCTTTTGCTTTCTTCGTATATAATGTCCTTGATGTCATTCCAAAACTCATCAGATCTCAGTGTGTCAAAATCTATTCTTGAGATGGTCTCCAAATTCAGGTGGGGTATTCTCAAGGTCATACTTTGGTTCTCGTGGACTTGTTTTAATTTTCTACAACTTCAGCTTCAACTCGGCATCTGAGCAGTTGATGATCTGTTCTACATTTGGCACCTGGCCTCATTCTGACTGATGATATTGAGCTTCTCCATTGTCTCTTTCCATTGTTGATTTGATTCCTGTGTATTCCATCTGGCAAGGTCCACATGTATAGTCACAACTTATTTTGTTAAGAAAAGATATTTCCAATGAATAAGTCGTTGATCTTGCAAGATTTTGTCATGCAGTCTCCCACGTTGTTTCTGTCACCAAGGCCATGTCTTTCAACTACTGATCCTTCTGTTTCCAACTTTGTATTCCAATCACCAGTTATTATGGGTGCATCTTGATTGCATGTTTGATTAATTTCAGACTGCAGAAGTTGGTAAAAATCTTCTGTGGCCTAGTAAACTCCAAATGAGCACCTGTGGTTAGAACTGGTGTCATGGATTGAATTGTGTCCCCCCAAAAATGTGTGTCAACTTCATTAGGCCATGGTTCCCAGTATTGTGTGGTTGTACTCCATTTTGTGATTGTAATTTTATGTTAAAGAGGATTAGGGTGGGATTGTAACACCCTTACCCAGGTCACATCCCTGATCCTATGTAAAGGGAATTTCCCTGGGGTGTGGCCTGCAGCATCTTTTATCTCTCAAGAGATAAAAAGGAAAGGGAAGCGAGCAGAGACGGGGGACCTCATACCACCAAGAAAGCAGTGCCAGGAGCAGAGCACGTCCTTTGGACCTGAGGATCCTGCGCTGAGATGCCCCCAGACCAAGGGAAGACTGGTGACAAGGACTTTCCTCCAGAGCCCACAGAGAAAGCCTGCCCCTGGAGTTGATGCCCTAAATTTAGACTTGTAACCTACTTGACTGTGAGGGAATAAATTTCTCCTTGTTAAAGCTATCCACTTGTGGTATTTCTGTTACAGCGGCACTAGATGACTAAGACAGAATTTGGTACCAGGAGTGGGGTCCTGCTCTATCAGATACCTAAAATATGGAAGTGGTATTGAAATTGTGAGTGGATAGAGGACCAGCAGCAGCAGAGAACCTGCAGCAGCAGAGAGTGGCAGCGGAAGAACCAGGAAACCAGCTTGAGACAGTGCTGGAGTTGACCGATGGAGCGAGAGATCTGAGTGCCTGTGCACAGGAGGCTTCCTGGTGGGATGGGGTGCCTCTGGGTACTTACCAGTGGAGCCAGGCTCGCCGACCCATGGAGCAAGAGAGCTGTGTGCCTGTGTCTTCCTGGTGGAGTGGGGTGCCTCCAGGCATTTATCGGTAGAGGTACAGAGCTTTGGAACACTTGCCCCAGCAGGGCAGATGTGGGCGTGAGGCCTGAGGAGCCGAGAGGTCAAGAAACCAGGAAGCAGAAGCTGAATAGACAAGGAACACAGGAAGCCAAGCTCCCTCAGTCTCAAAAGGTATGGCCAAGACCTCTGGGGTCTTACTAGGAGACTCATGTGCCTGAAGCTGAGGGAGCAGAGTTGCTGTTCCAGTGGGCCTGGAAGGCGGAGCTGAAGCCCGGGGCAAAGGGGCCTCCACTCAGAATCTGGAGAGTGTGGCCAATACCTAGAGTCTGGAGGGCAGGGCCATTGTATAAATTGCCTTAGAGAACAGATTATTTTCAAAGCTTTGAGGGCTAACGTAATGTGTTCTGCTGACTTGCTTGGTGCCTGTTAACTCTACTTTTCCTCCAGTATCTCCCACTTGTAATGGAAATGTCTAGCTTGTGCCTGTTTTGCCATTGTACTTGGGAAGCAGATAACTTGTTTTCTAGATTTCACAGATGAAGAGGAATTTTTGGATTTTGGGCTTGGAGTTAAGACTTAAGTTATGACGGAGTGAATGTTTTACACGTTACAAGGATGTGATTTTTTGGGGGCCAAAAGGTAGAATATCATGGATTGAATTGTGTCCTGCAAAAATATGTGTCAACTTGGTTAGGCCATGATTCCCAGTATTGTGTGGTTGTCCTCCATTTTATGATTGTAATTTTATGTTAAAGAGGATTAGGGTAGGATTGTAACACCCTTACCTAGGTCACATCCCTGATCCAACGTAAAGGGAGTTTCCCTGGAGTGTAGCCTGCACCACCTTTTCTCTCTCAAGAGATAAAAAGGGAAGAGAAGGGGGCCTTCATACCACCAAGAAAGCAGTGCTGGGAGCAGAGCGCATCCTTTAGACCTGAGGTTCCTGTCCTGAGATGCCCCCAGACAAAGGGAAGACTGATGATAAGGGCCTTCCTCCAGAGCCGACAAGAGAAAGCCTCCGCCTGGAGCTGATACCCTGAGTTTGGACTTGTAACCTACTAGACTGTGAGAGAATAAATTTCTCTTTGTTGAAGCTTTCTACTTGTGGTATTTCTGTTATAGCAGCACTAGATGACTAAAACAGCTGGGCTAGAAGCCCTGTAAACTCCCAGCTCACTTCTCAGTGCTGTCCTTGACTTCCAGAAAAGCCATTTTGAGGCTCGGTTTCTTGGTGCTAGCTTCACAAAGATGACCTGGGCATTATTCAATATCTGTGATGGTCTTAAATAAATAATTGAATGTGTGAAGGGTTTATAATGTCCAGGGTAATGAGAGAACGGTAACTTTCTTTGCTTACTTCCGACTTCTTGGGAAATGAGAGGGTTCTTTCTCAGGTTTCTATGGTGAGGGTTGTTGGCGCATGGCATCGGTTTCCCTCTTCCATCTGTGGAGCCTGTGAGAATTATGCAAGCAGTGGAAGGGCCAGAGCACAGGGCTCTCGGCTGAGTTCCTTCATGTGTTGCCTTCCCTCTCCGGCAGGCATTGAGCGACCGCTTCAGCGGTGAGATTCCCGATGACCAGATGGCGCACAGCTCCTTTTTTCCAGATGAGTACTTCACCTGCTCCTCCTTGTGCCTCAGCTGTGGGTAAGTGAGGCCTGCCACTTTGGGAAAAGGGATGTAGGGTGGTGCTTCTCAGACTTCAGTGTGCATGCAGATCACCTGGGGTCTGGTTAGATTCTGACTGAAACCATGCAGGGTGAGGGCCGAGACAGTGCATTTCTAACAAGTTCCCAGGTGATACTGATGGTACAGAGACCACACTTTGAGTAGCAAGGGCTTAGAGGACAACACATAGTTAGGAGGAATCCCCTGAAAACTCCAGCTTGGTTGAGATGTGAAATTGACTGGCTTCTAGTTTGGGCTGTTTTTATGGCAGAAATTTTTTGTTTGCCTGCTTTTCTGTTTCTTTTACTGGTGCTTTCTTTTTTTTTTTAATTTATTTTTTCTTGTTGAAAATATGCACAGCAAACCATACATCAATTCAACAGTTTCTACACGTACAATTCAGTGACATTGATTACTCTGAGTTGTGCAACCATTCTCATCCTGCTTTCTGTACTGTTCCTCCCCCATTAACATAAACTCACTGTCCCCTAAATTTCCTATCTAATCTTTTGAGTTGCTGTTGTCAATTTGATCCCATGTAGATAGTTCTTAAAAGACCATGATTCTGCTCTTTTGGGGATGCTGTCTAGAGGCATTCAGAATGGTCCAGCGTCTGACGTCCTGTCATAGGGTGTCCTACAGTACAGCCTCTAACAAAACTAGGCTGTCCTGAACCCCTGGTGGTAGAATTGTTTACATTTATACCAGGAAGGTTGGTAAAGCACCAAAATCTGCATGTGTTGCGTGCCCAGGCTGACTTCGAGGAGTTCGTGCTGTGAGACTTACAGTTCTCATGAGGTTGTCCAAAACAAAAAAACATGTCAGTAGGGTCTATGGTGGTTCCATATGTGCTAAACATGGATATCGTGACAGGATCAAATGTGCTTTCCTTATTGAGCAGCAGAAAATCATTATGAAAGTGTTGAAGCAGAGTCAGAAAGCTAATTTTAAAAAAAATAAAGCTTTTTTAATAATAAATCAAATGACTTGTTCTGTTTTGAAGAAAAGAACATAATGCTCAAGGCAGACATTCTTTACTAGTTAAGCTAAACTATTATTTGGTTTTAAGAAGTCTTCTGGGGATTTTTTGGTTTAAGGTTTAATCTACAGGGGCTTTCAATTGTGTATTCATAGTCATTCATTTTTTTTCAACTAATATTGGAGTGCCCAGTGCTGGTTCTTTTTAGTATCAGGACAAATGATTAGAGCACATTAGAATTATCCAGGGAGCTTTGTAAATTACTGAGGCCTGGGACCCACCTCCAGGGATTCTAATTGAATGAGTGTAGGTTAGGGTTCGAGCATCGGTGTTTTTAAAAGATTCCTCAGATATTTCTAATATGTAGCCTGGGGTTGAGAACATTGAGTTAGAGCAGTGCTTCTCAAACTTCAATCTACATTTACATCACATTGGGATTTTGTTAAAGTGCAGATTCTGAATCAGCAGGTCAGGGTAGGGCCAAAGATTCTGCATTTCTAACAGGCTTCCAGATGATGCCTGTGCTGCTGTCTGTGGACCACACTTCGTTTACTGAGGGACTAGAGCACAGATTCTCAGATGTTAACAAGCACCAGAAAAACCTGCAGGGCCTGTTAAAACAAATTGCTGGGCCCCACCCCTGGAGTTTCTGATTCAGTAGGTCTGAGGTAGGGCCTGAGAATTTGCATTTCTAGTAAGTTCCCAGGTGATGTTAATGTTGCTGGTTGGGGACCACACTTTGAGGACCACTGGATGAGTTTGAACCTTGCCTGAGCAGTGGATGGCTATTAAACCACAGTCTGGTGGCTTGTGTGATGGACCCCAAGAGTGTAAATGCAGTGAGTCAGGGTCAGACAGCAGTTTCCATGTTCTGTGATGCCACCACCCCGAAAAACAAAAAACCCTAAAAAACAAAAACTTCTTCACCACTGAGTTGTCTTTGCTCCCTTCAGGACCACTATCCATGTCCTCCACCTTTGCCCATCTAAAGGGGAAGCCTATTCCTGTTATGAGTAGCCTTGATTGGCCTTTTGGTGTTGAACTTGTAGGTCGCCTGCTGGGTACTAAACTGCTGACAAGTGTGGTGAAAAGGACTTGGCTCTCAGATTATACCATCTGGGCTAGGGAGAACCGAGGATTATCTTGGAGAGTTGATCTTGGAAAGGGGCAAGGGATGTGAGTTGCCAGTGTGACTTGAACTTGATCTTCCCTTTTTTGCTCACCCCGTGAGCCCAGCGTGAGGGGCCTAGGCTCTTTGGATCACTTTAGGGTCTTTGGATCACTGCTTTTCTATTCTGACTGAGGCTCACCAGGGTTGCCAGAACTTTCCCTTTATCATAGTGAAATTCTAAAGCCCTGATCTCTATTTTTGAGTTGTCAGGATAGCAGAACTCACTGTTCATTAAGAAGATTTTCTTGTTCAACTTAAGCCTCCCCTTAATGCATTGCCAAATTTTTGGGGTTGGTTTTTGTTTTGTGTTTTGGAAGCCTGTTCTGGTGAAACTTTCCATTTCATTCCTGTTTGGATTTTTGGTTTCATCTCTTGTCAAATGGTTGGTGTCTTCTGGCTCCTCCATTCCTGCGGAGAATGGCTTAGAGTGCCAGGTGGCTTTTGCGGAAAGAGATTTTTTTTTCCTTTTCTTCTTTCTCCTGGTACAGGGTAATAGTTGCCCTGCCTCTGTAGTGCTGCTGATTGCAAGGGAAGCAGACTGGCACATAGGTTTCTGAGATGAACTGGCAGTCTCTGTGCTCAGCATCCAGGGCCCAGTTAATAACTGAGGTCTGGTTTGAGCCCTGTACCTGGCTCAGGGTCAGACTCTCCTGTGTCAGTGGCATTGGCTCCTTTAGCTGCCTCATTGTTAGCTTTTTGGCTTCTCTCAGGGCTGGATGTAAGAACAGCATGAACCATGGGAAGGAAGGAGTGCCTCATGAAGCCAAGAGCCGCTGCAGATACTCCCACCAGTATGACAACCGAGTTTACACCTGCAAGGTGAGTGCTCCCGCTTCTCCCTGCTCCAGCAGCTGGCTTGCTGGTCGCACTCTCTCCTTTTGGGAAGACTGGTTTTGGAGCTGCCATATGCAGCATCCCAAAGTATTTGATGTTCAGATTGAACTCTCTAGAACTTCTTTTCATCTCTAACCGGAAGAACTCCCATATCTTCATTGCTAGGGCCCTTTTGTTTGTTTTTGTTAAGCTTATTGTCTCTTCATTCTGCTGAGCTTTTATGTAAGGATCATGTACACTGACTGTTCATTCTTCTTAAGGGCAGAAGTGCTCTGCAGGAAACTAGTTTTGATTGATTTCTCCTGTCTGTGACAGGTATATAACTTAGAGCCCAGGTCTGGGGCCTGGGATGGGCACACACTCAGTGCATTAACATTCAGGACACTGGCTTCTTTAGAGACTCTCTTCTGAAGTGCTACACTCAGGATCTGTAAACCCTCAGCTGGTGTGGTTTGCGGGGGGCGGTGCTGAACGGAGGATGTACAGAGGCCTTGGGGCTTGGTGTGCATATAAGAAGCTGGCAGAGTGCTCCATGTTTCAGGCCTGCTATGAGAGAGGCAAGGAAGTCAGCGTAGTGCCCAAAACATCTGCTTCCACTGACTCCCCCTGGATGGGTCTTGCAAAATATGCCTGGTCTGGGTAAGTTTAAATGACATGGCTACAGGTTTTGGGTGTGTTTGTCTCCCCAGGCACTGGCTGGCTGACAGTGTTTATTTGCCTTCCCTGTAGGTATGTGATCGAATGTCCTAACTGCGGTGTAGTGTATCGGAGTCGGCAGTACTGGTTTGGGAACCAGGACCCCGTGGACACAGTGGTGCGGACAGAGATTGTGCATGTGTGGCCTGGAGTAAGAACGGTTTTATTTATTTTCTTCTTTCTCTTATATTGTTCTGTTACTTATGTATGTGGAAAAGTAGAGTTTGTTTAGAATTAAGGTTAACCATGAATTTCAATTTATTAGTAGTTTAGGAAGGCATGATCTTTCTTGTTTTAGACCTTTAATTGTTTTCATTTCTTTTTGCATAAATATTAGAAGCACAGCTTTAAAATGGTTTTACTGCATTGGCAAATAAAACTTCATTTTTCCATATTCACATATAATTTTATAGATGCAGTTATAACTTACATGCCATGTTTTATTTCCACATTGCTTCCACTTTTCATGATTCGTGATGGTCTCATATTCTGTTTAGTGCTGTAGTTTGATTCCAGCTCCCTTCTTTTTGGACATTTATGCTGTTTATAATTTTTTTTATATCAATGAAAGTGCTACAGTAACCATCTTCATATAAGAAAGTCTTTGTTTTGGGAAATTTTCTTAAAGTATATTCCAAGAAGTAGGCTTGCTGTAGTCCATTACTATTTTTTAATTGGACTTTTGAATCCAAGATGTCCTAAAAGCAAATCCGCTTATGAGGCACCAATTTGGTGCCTTCATTCTGAATTAAACCACTATTCACATTTGGCATTATCCATAAATCACAACAAATCCAAAACCTTTTCTCCTCATAGAAAAAAGACTAACAATTTTCTCTAAGGAAGTTACTCTGTGTTGCTCCCCTTGCTGGGTGATTCTAATGCCACTGGTCCACCTCACAGATCTACCCACCTTTGAGCCTTCCTGGGCCCTGCAGGTACCATAAAGCTGAAGATTTCTTATTGTTCTTTATTCCTCTTCTTTCCAGTTAAATACCCAGGCTCACTGAAATTTGTCAGTGCAGTGTGATCTCATTTCTGGAGACCACCCTCTTGGTATGATGGTCCAGGGCCATCCTGTCCCAAGGATTTAATGTGGCTTTGAACTAGTGTAACTTTGTCACTAGGCTTTTTTGTGATCGATACCTGTTATTTTTTGATCCATGTTATTTTCTTTATAAGCTGTCATCTCTATGGTAAGATAGTTTATATTCCAGGAAAACAGTAATTCCCTAGTTTACATTTAGGCTGCATTCCTCAGAGTCCTTGGGATTAGAGGAATACAGACGCCTCACTTCCTGCCTGCTCATGCGTTCATTCATTCTTTCATTATCTCACTTTATATCATTAAGTACTATGTGCCCAGAACTGAACTAGAGACTTTACAAAAATAAAAAATAGACTTATTATTCTCAGAGAGTTCACAGTCTCGTGGGGAGTCACATACGTAAATAGATATTGTACTTACTCATGTAAACAGGATTCCTAGAGATATTTAGGTATTAGAGGAACTGAGAGGAAGGACTTCTAACCCAGCCTGGGGTAGGGCGCTTCCTGGAGGAGGTACCATCTTTACATGGGTATTTCCTTGTCATATATTTTACTTTATGGGCAGAGTAAGTCCTGAATTGAATAGCTGTACATGAAGTCTTGTAGTCACCTCTGAAGGGAATAAATCAGCGATGACTGGCTGGATGATACTACTTGGAAGCCAGAGGATTCCTGCTCTGTCCCTAGTCTTCTTGGCCAGGGGGTTTGTGGTTCTGAGTCAGCTATGGTGAATGTGCAGCTCACCAGAGAGCCCTCTCCCTCCTTCCTTTCACTCCCTTCACTCAGAGCATTTTAATTTCAGACCGATGCATTTCTGAAGGACAACAACAATGCCGCCCAGCGCCTGTTGGACGGGATGAACTTCATGGCTCAGTCCGTGTCCGAGCTTAGCCTTGGGCCCACCAAGGCTGTGACTTCTTGGCTGACAGACCAGATTGCCCCTGCCTACTGGAGACCTAACTCCCAGATTCTGGTATGGTGTGGCAGGGTGTAGCATCCTTGGTGTGGCCCACCCTGCTTGTGCCACTTTGCTCCTGTGCTACCCTTGTTCTGTGAGGAAGGAACAGAATTTCCCCCAGTAAAATTGGCTTCCAGCTTATTGGGAGGGATGGGATGTACTGACACAGCCAGTTTCCTCTGTGCCTACAGATTTCCTTTTGTGTGATTTCTCTGTCGTGGGTTTTAGTTTCCTTTCCTGTGAGAGCTGATGGATATTGGTCAGATGCCCAAGGTCATGAAACCTCATGGAGGAAAAGACCTTTAGAGGTCATTTAGGCCCATCCTTGGCCTGATACATAAATCTTCTCTACAGCAGCCTCAGCAAAGGAGCACCCAGCTTTGGCCCGAACACTTTGTGACAGGAAACTAGCTCTTCAACAGGCTTCTTTTTCACTCTTGGATAACTCTTATTACTAGAAAGTTTTTCTCCTTGAGCTAAAACCTACGTCCCTTAGTTTGTAGTTGTCTCAGCACTGGAATACCAGCCATCAGCTGGTAACCCCTTCAGGGGGAGTAACTCCAGCTTCTCAGAGGCTCTTTCAAGAAGCCGTGAAAACAGTGAATTCTCATTGCTATTCTGGCTAGAATTAGCACAGTCCTTTCTGGGAACCCTGTGACTCAGCCAGTCCTTGAGAACAGATTCGAGGTACCTATCTGGGCACTTATAGGAAAAGAACAATAATCACAGCTGTGCTTCTGTGGGGGCATTGCATGTTTCTGGAGGTCTTAGGTCCCCTCTGTTAGGCTTGTTGGGGTCCTGCATTCCAGGGTAGTCCCATGGTCTTCCCTCCTGGGTCTTGTTGACTTTCCTAGCTGAGCAGACGTGAACGATAACCTGCCTCTGTTGTGTTTTTGGGGTTGGAGCAGAGCTGCAGCAAGTGTGCGACATCATTTAAAGATAATGACACGAAGCATCACTGCCGGGCCTGTGGGGAGGGCTTCTGTGACAGCTGTTCATCCAAGACCCGGCCAGTGCCCGAGCGGGGCTGGGGCCCTGCGCCTGTGCGTGTGTGTGACAACTGCTACGACGCCAGGAATGTCCAGTTAGGTAACGTGGGGCCTGTGAGCTGTGAGGGTGGAGCGGGGAGAGCCTCTTCCCTGGGCGCTGCGTGTTGGGAACTGGACTGCCAATTGCCCCAGCCCTGTTGCTAACCACATCACTCTTCTGAGAGCAACTGCCCCTAGTCTTGGCCAGTCATTCTCTAAGCTCTTTGTTAAGAGTCCTGTGGATCTTTTTCTCAAGGAGTTTGAACTTGTCCTGCACTCAAAGCTACAGAAGTGCTTCAGAAGGAAGGAAATACACACATAACATTTGAATTCTGAAAAGGTAACAGTGTTTACCAGAGATAGCTCGAACTGAGTCTTCTCCTGGGAGAAGGTTCTAGGTCAGTGCTTCCAGGACTTTTATAAAATAGCTCTAGTGGGTTGCAAGTAAAAGACTAACAGATGTCATCTAATTTCAGAGTCTGGGCCGACCTGACCCACAGCCCATACTCTTGCGATCATGTGCAGGATGGCCTATCAGTACTGTGGGAGAAGAGCCAGAAGTGCTCTGCTGGTTGCTTCTGGAGTTTTAAAATGTTTCCATTGGGAGATGATTAAGAGGTGATGGCTTTTCCTTTCTCATTTGTCTACAGATGTTGCTGAGGCACAGGTGGATGATGAAGGTGGAACACTGATTGCTCGGAAGGTGGGCGAGGCCGTGCAGAACACTCTAGGAGCTGTGGTGACAGCCATTGACATACCCCTAGGTGGGCCTTGCAGTGCTGCTCTTGGGTATAACGTATGTGGGATGAGGGGTTTTGGAATTCCCTGGGCTATCATTCTGTCAGAGGCTTGATGACCTAAATTGAATTGGGCAGCAAGGAATCAATGAAAAATTTGCACTTGCTTATGTGGTTTCATGTTTATTCCTGGAGACCATCCTGTTATACCAGCTGTTACTATGTAGCATACTACCTAAAATGTAGAGGCTTAAAACAACCATTTTATCATGTCTCTGAAGTTAAGAAGGGATAGGGAATGGAATAATTGGGGAAAGGAATAATTTATTCTGCTCTAAATGGCATTGCCTGGAGTTGTTACATGATATTTTAGTATGGCAGCTGGGCTGATCTTGAGGGTCTGGGCTGGCCTCACCTATATCCTGGGTACCTTGGCCAGGTCATCTGGAAGGGTTAACTCAGTAGAGCCCCTCTCCCTCTCCGTAGATTCTCTGGGCCTCTCTCACATGGTCTCTCTTCTGGCAGTTGGACTTCTTACATGGTGGCCCAAGAGCTAATATTCTAAGAGACAGGAAGTTGAAGTGGTCAGTCTCTTAAGGCCTGGGCCGGAAACGGGCACAGAGTCACTTCTACTCGAGTCTATTGCAGTCACCAAGCCTGTCTGGATTCAAGGGAGGAGACATGCACCCCTCTTCTCGATGGGAGCAGTATCAAAAGAATTTGTGGTTATCTTTAATCTGCCACACTAGCCAAGCTATTATTTAGGATTTAAGATAGCTACTCAGCTCTGGATGGTGAGGGGGTACTTGCAACCAGAAGGTAGGGAGGGGGAGTACATCAACAGCTTAGACAGGGTTAGCCAAACCTGGGGTAGTTTGGCCCTTTGTAGGGGAGACATGGATGACTCCTGGGTGGATGATGGTGAAAACTGCTTAGATCTAATTTAGTCATTGTAGCTCACAAAATGAGCAGATGATAGGCTTTTGACTTAAGGGTATAGGGATAGATGGATTTGCCCAGGCTTGAAGCTCAGGCTCCACCTGCCCTTGGGTAACTGGGAAGGGCAGGGGCTGCCCTTGGCACAGAGAGCCTGCCAACTGTTGCTAACCAAGTGCAGCACCTACTTCCTCAGCACGTCCCAGGTGTCAGCCCCAGCCAGTGCATTACAGACGGCATTTCTTATAATCCTCATAAGAGCTCTTAAAGTTGAGTTGTTAAAGATGAGTAAGCCAAGTCCCTGAGAAGTTAAGTAACCTCTCTTAATCCTACAGCTGCTAATTAACTCATGCTCAGTGGAAATGGGTTTTGAATGAAGGTACGTCTGACTCCAGACTCTGGATTCTTTTGTAGTTACTCCAGTGGTTCTTAACGCAGCAGTACTTGAAGATCACCTGGAGAGCTTAGTAGACATATAAATGTCAATGCCTGGGCCCAGCCCTGATGATTCTGATCTGGAGGGTATGAGATGAAAGCTGGACATGTGTGTTTCTTTTAAAAGCTCCCTTGGTGATTCTCTGTGCAGTTGAGTTTGAGAACCAGTGAAGTATCTGAGGATGCCTCTTGCCAGGTGGGACTCAGGGCATTGGGTTGTGTGTATCCCAGCTGTCATCATTCCTTCCCTGCCGCAGGTCTGGTAAAGGATGCGGCCAGGCCAGCATACTGGGTGCCTGACCATGAGATCCTGCACTGCCACAACTGCCGGAAGGAGTTCAGCATCAAGCTTTCCAAGCACCACTGCCGGGCCTGCGGACAAGGCTTCTGTGATGAGTGCTCCCATGACCGCCGGGCTGTCCCCTCTCGTGGCTGGGACCATCCTGTCCGAGTCTGCTTTAACTGCAATAAAAAGCCTGGTGACCTTTAACCCCAGCTCCCTCTCCAAGTCCTTCACAATTCCTTAGGTTCTCAGGGTTAGAAACAAAAATCTCGTCGGGGTAGGCCCTCCTCCTGGTCATCTGTCGAGCTGTGTGCCCTCTCCTCTATTCATCCTGGAGCCAGTTTCCCTCCATGGGGAGTGCGGCAGATGCCAAAGCTGGGGTGAGCCTGGCGGCTGGCCCAGGGGCATGAACCCCTCAGTGCAGGGGAGCGAGCAGCTCGTAGCAAGGGGAATGAACCTGAATCCGTTGCATTTATTTCAGTTAAAAATAATAAATATAAATATATACATATACCCGTATATACATACATACGAAAGGAACTTGGAGTGTATTCAGGCTGCCGTTGGCGGCGAAGACTCCTCACAGCTGGTGCCCAGCACAGGGATAGGCTGGCATTGGCAGCAGGTCTTCCCCACAGAGCTGAGCCAGCTCCAAAGTCACTTTGTTGCTAGTCACCTTTTGCTCTTCTCTCCGAGTCTCAGAAGCCTCTCCTTCCCTTGCCTTTTCCCTTTATGACTCTCAGCTGCCTGCGGAAGTGAGCTTCTCAGGTACTGCCTGCTTGGAACGGCCTGAGGGGAGCTCAAAGTGAGCTCTCAGAGGAGTCGCTATCCCAGTTCTCGGCCTAAGCCTGTTTCAGTCAGAGACCACCCAACCTAGTGTGTGGGTCACCAGAGTGGGTGGAGGGTGAGGGGTAGGGTCCTCAGCCCTGAGAAGTCAAAATGCAGGTGACGTGATGCCTCCTGTACCTGGAGAGAATGCCAAAGGAATGGGCCTTTCCCGGCAGCGGTTCCTGCTTGTGGCCACTTCTGTGTGTCTCCCACTAGGCTTTCCTAAAAGGCGGCCACCCTGCTTCTAAATTAAAGCATCTGCTACCCTCCCCTCTCCCGCCCCCTCAATCTGCTTCTGAGTGTCTCGCTAGGATTTTTATTGCTTATTTTAAAGTGTCTTAATTCTTTGTTCCCAGACACACGACCCCTCTAGGTGTTACTGGAGGGGTGATAGTGAGAAATCTTCCAGGGAAACAGAGCACAGAATGGACTGTTAGTTTTTAAGTATATCAATAATTCAACAGATCATAAAGAAAAAAAATTATCTCTTCAGTCCTTGCAAGAGAAGTAAAGTGAACTTTTGTTTGTCATCAAGAGATTGGACATCCATATCTGTCGTGACTGGAAAGAGATTGTTGTGCTGAAATCCTGTCATCATGGTGGATTTTATCTTCAGTGGCCAAAAACGAAGAATTAAAAGCAACATCGTTCTTGACTGAACTGGGTGGGTGGGTTGAGCTTCTGGGAGGTTAGTGAGCGGTCCCTGTGGCGTGGGTATCAATGTGACGTGAGCCCTGGAGACCTGTTCCCTTACTGCCTCCTGTGGCCCAGTGACTGAGGCCCTACTCTAGAATTGTGTATTATCAAATTTGCCATTATAAAGGATCTTCCTGCTGAATGTGGACTGTGCTGACTTTCTCCTCTAACTCCGTCAGTAAATTGGCTCACTGTGTCCTTGTAGTTGATGGGAAAGTAGCTTGGCTTTCAGAGCAGAAGCCGTGCGAGATGCATTTCTAGGGTGATAATATCTTACTTGTAAATATCTCAGTACATAATAAGGACTTTTTTTAAAAAAAAGCTGAACCAAGTACCACAAAATCATTGTCATATGGGGTAGATTTTTAATCTCATGATGACAAGCTGTTTCCCCTGGCTTTTAGATAGACAGCATGCCCCAGATTGGTTTGCTAACCAGGGCCAGGACTTTGATGATCATGGGTGTTCCTTTATGTAGAGTGTGCTGATAAGTGATGGTCACAGAACTCTGTAGTGAGTGGGCAGAGGGCTATTCTGCAAGGCCCCCGCTTACCTCACTGTTTTCCTGTAATTCTGCCTTGTTCGTCAGATCCTCCCAGATTGGGGTGTGTGGGACGGGATTGTTGTGGGGTGGAGGTTTGGGCAGCAGCACAGCAGAGCTCCGCTGGCCCTAGTACAGAAGCTGGTGTCAGATGCTGCACAGCTCAGTGGTAGCAGTTGATTTAACGCCTTGGGTCCTCAGGGTTTCACTTTGGTAGCTATTTTATCACCATCTGTGGGTGGAATCCTTTCTCACAGAACACACTAGGTATTACTCTGATTTTTAATTTCTGGGTTTAAAATACATATTGCTAATGACATATGGAAACGTTTAAAACAATTTTTTTGTACCCCTTTATTGGGCACTCCTCTTTTCATTTTCCCTCCCTCGCCTTGTCTATTCAACTCCTGTGTCATTAACTGTTGCCTCATTCTCTGTGGTCACTGACACTTGTCTTTGTCCCTTCCCTTCTTCCTTGCTTCATTTCCTCTTCCCTCATCTTTGTTTCCTGTCCCTATCCCTTTTTGCTCTTGTCTTTATTTTTTGGGAGAGTGGGGCAGGGTGGGAGGGTTTGCAGAGAAGAGGTGAATGGTAGTGGCTCATGTTAGACCTGGACATTTGTCTTGTCATTGCACAGGGTTCCCCTGAGCATGCGTGTCTGCCTGGTGGTGGGTAGTGACCTTTCTGGTCTAAGGCTTTCTCATAGGAATAATGCAGACAAATCTTCGGAATTTTCTTCCTTACACTACTCAGACCAGCTAAGGAAAAGAAGGGTACCCAGTGTCCATTAATAAGAGGTTTTCCTTTCTTGATCTGTACACATCAGATCCCAGCCCCGGCTAAATATGGAGTGAAACCATGCTAAATACAGGGTGAAATTACAAAGGCTTAAAAAAACCCATCAAACTATTATACATTTCGGCTTGATTAATTTTCTCAAAGTGAACACCATGTAACTGATCAGCACCCAGATCAAGAGACAGAACATGACTGAATCCCAGGAATGCTTGCTCCCTCTCCCCACCAGGAATAACCACTATCCTGACATCTAACAGCATAGATTAGTGCCCTCTTTTGTGTGTGTGCACATGCTACGTAAAAGCTTTTAACTTTCTGGTTTAAAGTCTTGCTTGTAGGTGGATCCCTCCTATGTATTGTTGAACATGTCCCTGAGAGCCTAGGACTGGAGATCCCCAGCTGGAGAACTAAGCGTTTCCTAAGCAATGGGACCCAGTGGGATCCTTACTGTATCCCTTGGGTTTAGCTTTGCTACTTTGACTTATTTGGGAACTGGAAAAGAGAACCACTATGTGCCTGGTATATGCCAGGGACTGTGCTAAGAGCTCTATATGGTCGATGGCTAATCCTCACAACCACACTGGAAGGTAGGTAAATAGTGGTGTTCAACTTTTATTGGTGAAGACGATAGTTCAGGGAGGTTCCAAAGCCCAAGGTTCCCTGGTAAGTGAGACCCGAAGCTGTCTTCAAGTCCAGCAGGCCTGGCTGGCTCCAGAGTGAGGGAGCCTGCCCTCTTCACCTTCAACCTGTTATTAGCATTGCAGAGTCTCCTCCCTTTTCCTTCCCCTGCATAGGTTATGAATTCTTTTGCATTTCCAGATAAGGTCAGTATCTTCTCCTTTAGAGGAAAGCTTAAATCAGGGCACTCGCTGGTGGCACAGTGGTGAAGTGCTTGGCTGCTAACTGAAAGATGGGTGGTTTGAACCGACCCAGTGGCTCCACAGGAGAAAGAGTTGGCGATCTGCTCCCGTAAAGATTATAGCCTAGAAAACCCAAGGGATGGGGCAGTCTACTCTGTCACATAGGGTGGCTATGAGTTGAAATCTACTTGACGGTACCAAAAAAGCGCAACTATTGTGTTGGGAGGGCTTCGTTTTATATCTAGTCATTTCTGTTGTCCTCAGGAGTTCTCATGGCAAAGGACAGTGATACTTTTCTTTCACTGAGAAGAAACAGGGAAGCTGGTTTAGAGATTCAACAGGTTGGTCTAGCCTAACACAAGAGCTAAGCTTCCAATTGTTAAATTCTGATTTAATGGCAGTTTTGCAACCATATTTGCATTTTCAATTTCAAAACTACCATCATTTAGGGGGAGAAAATTGAACCCACAATGGTAACCTGTAACTCCTCGTCATTAATGTAATTAGTTTTACTGTATAAAATCTGAAGTCTACCTTCTAACTACTTAATTTTCCCCTTCACACTAAAGTGAATTTTTATTTTTGTACGTCAGAGACTGTCACAAACTTGTGAGTCCTAAAGCCCATATGATATGGGGGCTCACGGAGTTACAGAATCTGTAATTTAGTAGCATGCTCATGTGACCAGACCCATCTTCGAAAATACCATTTGTAGCATGCCTTTATGTGCTTGGTGGAGTCTCAGTTAATATGCAAATACACAGTACTTCTGAGCGATTTTATCCACTGCCATGGTTTCAACTGTCCCCTTATACTGATGAAACGGAATTCTCTAACTCTAGCCTGAATCTTTCTCCAAGGCTCTGGCCCCTTCCCTCTACGACTCCCTCTGATGCCTGGAAGATAATGCAATTTAAACAGGGGCCTAACTGGATTTCCCAGTCACTACATCCCTCAGTTCTGGCTGCACTGGACTGTTGGCAGCATTTGTATCAGTGTGTCTTTGCTCAGATTATGGCCTCTGCAGAAAACGCTCTTTTTCTCTTGCAACAGCTGCTTTTATTCAGATGAAGCCAGGAGTGCAAGTGGGTGGGGGGTAGAAGCAACCAGAGAAACATGAGCAAAGATAGGACGCCCAGTCCAGAAGTCATCTGTAGGAGACAGAGTCAGCTAGTCTTGAGCAAAGGAAAAGAGGGGAAACTATTGAAATGAAACCAAGGCTCTGCCACTTACAAGCAGAATTATTAGCAGAAGACTTTGGGCAAATCACTTGAGATTCATTTTCTTGATAAATTGGAGGTACCATTACCTACTTCCTAGGGTTGTAAGAATTAAAAAGAAATAATGCTGGCAAAAACTGGTCATTCAACAAACCAAGTGTCTACTTGCGTCAAGTGCTGGGGAAACTAAGCTTCCTGCAGGAAGTGTCTCTCAAGCTGAAGCTTAAATGTTGGAATTTTACAGATGAGAACAGAGGACGGCTTGAGCAGAAGCCTAGATGAAGGTAACAGCATGTTCAGGAGGAACCTGAAACATTTGTGTCCAGGGAGCCCCAAGTGGGAGACAGACGGGGGAACAGGATGGAGGGGTATACCATGATCAAATCACAAAAGGCCATACATTCTATTCTGAGGCATAGGAAGCCATGGAAAGCTGGAATTTATCAGAAAGATTATTCCTATGGCAACAGCAGGGCCAAAACCAAACCCAAACACTACTGTCGAGTCAATTCCAACTCATAGAGACCCTATAGGACAGAGTAGAACTACCCCATAGGGTTTCCTAGACTCTAAATCTTTACGGAAGCAGACTGCCACATCTTTCTTCCACAGAGCGGCTGGCGGGTTCGAACTGATGACCTTTTGGTTAGCAGCTGAGTGCTTAACCACTGCACCACCAGGACTTCCTCAGAGGGGATAAACTTAAGAGTGGGACCCGAGGCTTTTACCAACACACGTAAACGGAGAAATAGAAGAAAACTGTTTAGGCTGAAACCGTGTCTTGGTGATAGTTATGTGGAAGATTTAGACCAGGACAGACTTAAGGCCGACAGGTGAGGGACATGATTTGGGCTCACTCAAAGGACACTTCTAGGGACCTTTGTTAGGGGACACTGAAGGGGCTCAGTGCCCTCCAGAGCATGCTGGGCCAGCTGTATTATAGGGTGACTACACTGTAATGTGGAACGTGAGAGGTGTTTATTTGTGGGCATTTTTTATAACAAGTACGTGCCACTGTTCTCATCTATATTCAGAAAGCTGTAAGTAAAGCAAATGCTGGGCCAGTCAGCCAGGGGTACAGAGAATAGCCCGGCGGTGCTGTCATTATCGCCTGCTCATCCTCTACCCTCCACTGTCACCTGGGGAATAGTGTAACATGTCCAAAGACCTGCAGGTGAAAAATGCTTCAAGACTGTGTAAACATACTAACCTTTATGACACTATATTAAGCAGACAAAAATACTTATTCTACAACTTCTCAGCCCAGTTTAGCTACTTTTCATACAACCTAAACCAAATGTAAGGCTGCTAACTGGTGATCAAACACAAACTGCTGCTAAGTTTAGAGATTTTGAAGAACTTTCTTTTAGTTTAAGGGAAATCTAAAATGATTCATTTTACAACTATTTATTTAAGCAAGAAATCTGGTCTATGGCAGTTTGATAAAAGGAGTCAAGAAGGTGTGCAGCGGTAGGGCTGTAAACATCAGAACTTATTGTACAGTCTTGAGTGGTCAGATTGACTCTAAGCAGACTTGGGCTGCATAGCCGCCAGACTTTCAGCTCCATTCAAAGAATCAGTGCACAACCGTGGGAAACGCTCTGCCTTAGATGTGCAAGAGCAGTGACTCTAAATTGCAGATCCTGGAATGAAATGAACTTGTATGTTCTATTGTGCTTAGAATGTGATGGGGACAAACGTACAGGTGGACGTTAGGGTCATGGCCCAGGATGTGTGTGTGTGGACACTGCTCTTGGGCAGTGGCATGTCATTCCAAAGTTAATCCAAAAGACCCTGCCAAGAAAGTGGAGAGGTATACCATGTAATGCTATTCATATTTCCTGGGGAACTACTATGTGTACATCAGGGTTGCAGGAATACAGGGACAAAATCTAAACAAACACAGAAGAACTTTGGCAATTAACAAGCTTCTTGCCCACTGGTGAGAGCCAGAAAAACTCATTTACCCAGTGATTAAATATCATGGAATGTTAGTAGTCACAGATTTATACTCACTGATTTCTCCACAGCAATAGCTCTGATACACAGGTCAATTATTTGGTCAGCAGAATGGGGACACGTGGAAGGTAGGGAGTGATCTCAAGTCTTCTGATTGTAATCCCCAGCTCTACACTTAATAGCTCTCTGATCCAAGGCAAGTCACTTAACGTCTCTGTGCCCTGGTTCCTTATTTGTAAGATGATGCCGATAGTATTATATTACTACAACTGTCCTGGGTTTTTTTAAGGATCAAATCAGATAATATGGGGGAAAGTTTTTTATATAATGTAAAAGGCACTAAAGATATATAGCCCATCTATTAGATAAGCAACCTGATATTCTCATCTTTGTGTGTGTGTGTGTGGTGTTCTGGCATGAAAGAGATTAACACTCAAAGAGGGTAAATGAAGAGTGTTTAACTGGTGAAACATCCTAGAGCTAGCAACAGTGAGGTGCAATTACCAGCCGTAGGTCTGACGGGACAAATGGAGCGAACAGGTATTAGAACCTAGAGAAAGCTGTTCCGATAGAAATTACAGCATTAGGTCGAGGAATGCAGCCACAGCCCAGGAGAAAAGGGAGCCAGAGAACTCAGAATCCCACTTCGCTCTTCTCCTGCCAGGACTTCCCATTGGCTGAACTCACCTGGTAGCCAAGGACCAGAGAGCTCACTAGTGAGGTCCACGTGTCTCAGCCTCCTGGGGCGCAGAGCAGAGAAGGGTGGAAAGTGGATAGGAAGGGGCAAACAGAAGCATTCAGCACAGCTATTAAACCCGGTCTCAGTCTCTTCTATTCATTTCTTTTCTCATTCAAGATTTGAGCAGATGTTCCTGTAGCTGGTTTGCTGTTATAAGAAGTCCAAGCATCATGATCTCCTAAATCATTAACAAAAGCAACACACCACAACATGGTTCTAGTTTATTGTTTGATAGAAGAAACAGGCCCATTCAGTACTTTGTATGAACATTTCACAGACTGCTTCCCCTAGATTACAGAGTCAAAGCCAATTTTCTTACAGGCTAGGCCCCTGAATCTGACATTCATATCACCATAATAGAAATAGGAGCTGCTGTACTTAACATTCTGTGAGGTACTTCAACGAAGGCATGCTAAGGCCTGTTTCAAACCTGCTAGCATTTAAAAAGATTCATCTTTCTTTCCAATGCCTAGAATGATAGTAAAAGGAGAATTCCAGAGATCTCTGCTGTTGATACTGAGTGAGCTTATTCAGGAAGGCCAAGTTTAATGATTCCAAACTTCATCCTTAAATCTGTTCTGCGGACTCACAGAAACGACTTCCCACTTCCTATTCTATCCAGTTGGCTTTCTCAAATACAGATGTGTGTCTTCCTGGGACTAACCTACCACATCCCAGCCAGTCTCATCATTACACTTCTCAAAACAACTTTAGTGGAAGAAGAGGCGGATGGTTATTTTACTTTCCACCAAAAAAAGTCTAAAAAAAAAATGTGTGGGGAGGCTATTCTAAGGAATTCAACAAGAATAAGAAATAGGAACCTTTTATGAAAAGGACTTTCAGGCTCTCTGAGCCCACAATTTAATGAAAATAACTTTACTGAACTGTCTCCACATAAAACACTTAATACCTTTACCCCTAACGCTGGATAGTCGGGATCTGTGCACACTGAGTGCCCGTTTAAAATGTCTTTGCTAGAAACAGAACAGCAATTGAGGCTCTTTACTTCTATTAGTCAAATCCACATTCCTCTAGGCTGTTCCCTGCAGAATCAGCTGTAGGAGAAATAGTAGAGGTCCTTCCGGACGGCCATGAGCAACCCTGGTCCTCCCCGGAAGCCCCCGAGCTGAGAAGAGAAGGCCACACTGGGGATGTCCTCCTTGGAGGCGGGGTAAGGGGAGGGTATGGTTCTGAGCAGGTGGGCGTCATGGAGGCTCCAGATTCTCGTGTAGCAGTCTTGGCCCACTAAGCAAGAGAGAAGATTTGGCAGGTTAGCGAGAGAATGCAATGAAACGCTTACGGATAACACATGGTTTCTCATGATCCATAAGGACTAAAAACGATTTCCTGTGAACCAAAATAAAAATTCCTAGGTGGAAATTATTTCTACTTATAGTATGTTCTCAAAATTATGAGTCACCTGATGCTCTAGACCCATAACTAGTTGAAGAAATTCAAAGTAGTAAGATGCACTGGCCAGCTGTGACACCTCCGGTAGCTCAACAGTCGTCCTGGCTAATATGTTAAGGATTCTGCTTCTCTTGGTATCAAGGGCTGCTCAAGAGACCTCAGCCCACCTGGTTTAAATGGTATGCAACTGATTTCCAGATGTAACCGGAAGCTCTCTTAACTTCATTATATCCAGTATAAAACCAGAGACACACTCACGGACAAACAAAGTGACAGCTCCCCAGAGCTCTTTCTCGTTCATGGTTCCGTTTGTGAGACCAGTTAGTCTTCAGGGCTTAAATTTCTGAGGAATGCGACATACAACACCACTGGTTATGGTAGCCCAGACACATGATATATGTGACTGGAGATGTCCAGACGGAAAGAGGGCAGACCTCTGGCATTCATGGATTTCACACGAGTGCTTCTGACCACTGGAGTGACTCCAAGGCCCTAACACTGAAGCAGGTGCTACCTTGACAAGGATGAATGCAGGTTGTGCAGTTCTCCGAGTTTTACTGCAGCTCGCTCACCATCCTGCATTGGCCTCTCAAGGCTTAGCTCTTCTATTACCCAGCAAACAGAAGCTCATTTGCGATGAAAGATTGTGCAAAAAATCTTCAAACTTCTAACAAAGTGATGCCTCTTAGCCACAAAAAAGTTTCATGGGAGATAAATACATTCTGTAGGAGTATTAGCAAATTTGAGGATTTGTGAAGACTGAGAACATAATCTTAATTTCTTAATGCTTTTCATGATATTAAATATGCTAGAGCCCAGAAGCATCATCTGCAATCGACTTGTAACTCCTTTCAAGAGGGTTTAGTGGCTAGAAAGCTCTGCTCCTATTCTACAGGCCATGGATCCACAGGGATGGTGTTAATCTAAGGGACCAAGAAGTAGTTATTTTACAATGATCTTGATTTGTCTTCTCAGCATTCTCTGGTGGAAATACAGGTAGGAAAACAGGAAGTCCACATTTTTAGACAGGACAACTGCGTGATAAGTGCTACAGTGAATGCTGACCTGGGTAACAGACCTAAAGCCTGGCTCCTGTGTTTACTGCACCCAACCCTTAAACCTGTCTCTGAGGTGATGTCTGCCCACTGACATGTGGACCAAGGGCTATCCGACTGGTAGATGTTTAAACTGATGTTCCCTAATATCCAATCTGTTTTCCTTCTGGTACCCTGTTCCCAACTGTTCACATTCCCCCTTGTTCCTTCTATTTTTGAGCAGCTTACTTCTTCCTCTCCTCGTGGGGCTTCCAATGTTTAAGGTGCTAGGGGCCCTCAGGGACAGTATTTGATGGGATGGAATTTTCCCTTCCCCAGGTACCTGCCATCACGATTCCTTCTTCCTCGTGCACGTGCAGGGGCAGGTAGGCGTACTCATTCACGTGACCTTCAAATTGCCTTAAACATTTAGTGGTCCTCAGGTCCCACAGCTTGATCTGTGGGAAGAAGCCCAAGGGGTTATTAGGGAGGGCCCAGCAGGTACATGGTGAACCCAGGGTATAGAAGCCAGGAAGGGCAAGGTGGTCTCCAAAGGTCTCCTCAGGTTATAAAGATCTTAACCTCCTGAGCCCTAAAATCCACCGGAAGTTCATCATCAGAGAACCCTTTCTATTTCTGCCTTGCCAGATTAGCCTCACCCTTGTTCACCACAGGCAGTCTAGCAGCTCCCTAATAGTCTTTAATGCACCTGGCCTTTAGATACCTCTTTTCTGCCTGGCGTCTTGGTACAAGTGTCCCTTCTGCATAACCCCTTCACCTGGCAGAAGGCTGGGCCAAATTCCTAAGACTTCAGTGCTACCCCTACCTTTCCAGCCATGTCTGATGCCATCAGGCATTGTTCTTCTTGGAGGATTTGCACAGAGGTCACCGCTGAGTCATGGGACAGGCGCATGGCCTTCCAGCCCTTGCCCTGACTTTGAGAACGCAGATCAATGGCAAAGATCTCCCCGGAACGACAGCCATTAAACAAGAGAGGGGCCTGTGGAAAGAGGGACTGCTCAGTACCCAGCTATTACTACCACTCTCCAAGGCTGGGTACGTCCTACATAACTCCCTCACCTCCCCTATCCCAGCCCTTCAGAAGGTGCGGGTGGAGACAGGTTAGTTAGGGTTTACGTCTCAATGGAGTTGGAAGAGAAGATGAGTCTTCATGAAAGGGTAAAAGAAATGGACCCCACATGTCCTCCTTGTGGGAAGCATTCAAGTCCTAGAAGCTGCCCCACTGGTTGTGTTGTCCCCTTAGGCCTCACTCTAAAGCCCACAACAGACACCCTATATCCACCAAGGTCATTTGTGAAAAGCTGGGGTGATAAGTATGGAGTAGGAGAGACGATAGAGATCCAGGTAAAGATGTGGGATCCCAAATAGAAGGGAAAGACACCAGGAAAGCCTGAATGAAATCTGTGCTTACTGCCGAAGACAGGTTAGTAGACTCCCTCCTTTATAATGAATCTTTCCACACTGGGCAAGTCTTTAAAATACATTAATAACTAGAATTTTCATTTTTAAATTTATAAAATGAACAACTCAAATGCTGTGAATTAAACTAGTAAACGCTATGCATTGGGACTTAATTTGTATATTTTTTCCATTATTTGTCCTGCTGGCTAATCCAAGGACTCAAGAAGTGCTAAAAATTCGTTTAAACAGGAAGTTGTTAAAACACTGCTTAGCCAGGCCTTTTTGGATCACTCAACTTTCATTCAGCCCAGACATATTCACAAAGTACCCCATTAATCCTTTCTGATGTCCTCTTTTTCCCATTAAAGAGGCATGAGGATTAGGTGCCACATGGGGACCTGATTCCTATCCAGCAAAATTTCCACTCTTGCAGAACTTGATATTATAACCTTCCAAATCTAACCCACCAAGACAGCAAACTGCTGGGCCAGGACATCACTGCTGGTGCCGAATAACTGCTGGTGTCCCGTCACCACGTTGGTCAGCAGAACCTGCCGAGACAAGCCTGAGGGAGACAGAGGTGAGCTGGTGAGACAAGTGTTATTTGCAGTCTGGGGAGAGGGACTGCTGGGCAGTAGGGTTTAAGGTCTGTGAGATCCTTTAACTCTGGGAACCTGGGGAGGCAGCCATGCTCACCTGTGCTGAAGCAGTTATTTGCCTGGGTATTCAGGGACCACGCACAGGACCAAGCACTGGGGATCTGGAAACTGCAGAGCATGCCAGGCCGGTCTTCAACTGCTGAAGGGCACAGAGAAGGTAAAGTGTGGTTGCCCTGCTGGCCAAGGAGCTCCTCTCTCTGTGCTGCCAGGCCGGTGACCACCAGATTAGGACACCTCCACGAGCAGCTGCTCAGAAGGTTCTATACTCTGGTTCCATTCTGGGTTTGTGATACTGCGAGACACTCAGCCAGAGCACCTGGCTCAAAGTGGTTATTGGAGAGTGAACTTCTGAAGCTTTCCTGACTTCCCAGTAGTAATATTAACAGTACTAATAGTATCAGGTGGGGCGTATGGTGTTATAAATAAGATGGTTTCGACCCAGCTCTACTACCTAAAAATAAAAATTATACTTTTAAAATTGATACATACCATACTTATAAATCTTTAGTTACAGTTCAATGAATTATCACAAAGTAAATATAACCATGTAACCACCATCCAGATTAAGAAATAGAACATTCCAACACCCCAGAAGCCACCTCATGTCCCCTCCCAATTACCATCCCTACCCAAAGGTAATCACTACCCTGACTTCTAACACCAGATGGATTCATTTTATGAGGCAAATTCTGATCCTTGCTTTGCTTCAGTTTCCTCATTTGTAAAATGGTGACAATTATCTCTCTTGCATTGTAAGTGAGTGGTAAGACGAAATGCAGGAACCGGGCTAAGTGTGGACTGCCTCACTTGATCCCCCTACGTAAACCGATGGGGTGGGTATTACCTTCACTTCATAGAGGTTAAGCAATCCGCTGAGGGCAGGAAGGGGCAGAGCTGGGGTTCGTGCCAGGTGTGCCTGAAGCCTGCACTCTTAGAGGACTGACCCTTGTCTTATTGATACGAATTATCTGGAAGACTGAAAACTTAATACCCAGAATGCTGCCAGGAAGGAGACATCATACTGCCTTTGGCCAGACAGAATGTAAGTCTCGACAAGAGCCTGCGGTAAAAGCTTAATGTTTTCTGAATGGATCCACACAGGCAGCTCAAATCAATGTTCTGCTCTCTCCCATTTTGATCTACACATACTTTAACTGTCTCTGGCTGCTGAAATGACCCAAAAGGGGTAAAAAGGAGGGGGCACAGTTAAGAATGCACATCCTTCTAGTGCTAATCCTGGAATCAGGTTTAGGAAGTCCTTCCACTGTTGCTTCTGCAGACTGTCGCCACCCTGCAAGCGCTGACGGGGGCTCATTCAGCCTGTAGTTCCCACATTCCTCTCTGAGCCATCCGCACACAGCTTATGCTGTTGGCTGCGGCTCCTGAGAGGCACAGGGGTGAACATCTACTTATTCTAAGGAAAAGGGCCCTGTACCTGGATGACTATGGGCGAACAGTGATGCTGGGAGCAGAGTGGCGCAGCCTGGAGTCTTCGCGATTCCCATGCGGCACAACCTGGAAAAAGCTGTTAAGGACAGCGAAGCATAACACTCTCCTCTGGGAGGAAGGATGGGCATGCATACCGTTCAAAAATTACACAGACATAAGAAGCAGGACAGAGAATAACACCCACCACCACCCAGATTTAACGCACGTTTACATTTTTCCATATTCAGCCTCAGATGTTTTTTAAAGGGAAAAAAATGTCACAGATACAGTTGAAAAGCCCTCTTTGGCCCCTCCCCAACCCAATTCTCCCTTCTTGTCCATCCAGAGAAAATCGCTATTCTAAAACTGATAACGAGTTTTTCTAGGCTGTGTATACGTAATACTTTCACTACACGTATTTGTCCATAACAATATAAAGTACCGTTTGTTTTTAAAACACACATAAACGGCATCCTATCTTTGACAACTGTTCTATCTCAGTCATCGCCTAGATTTATGTGTGTTGATGTATGTGGCTCCAGCTCACCACAGAGTATTCCTCTGAATGGATATACCACTACTGAGTGATCCAGCCCTCTGCTGCTGGGTACTTGGGTTGTTTTTGGTTTTTGCACCTCTTTCTCACCTCCCCCTCCCAGGCGTGGGAGCTTCTCGAAGGCAGTGCTTATCAATTAAACCCACGGTGAGAGTTTCATTTTACACTACAATTGAATATATACCCAAACTATGAAACTCTGATATTTTCTAGTCTATTTCATTAAGAAATGCTGCTCAACAAACTGTTCTAATGTCCCACTGATAGACAGGTCACGACTGCAGTTGGATAACACTGAGCTAGCGTCCACACCTAGAGTGGAGTTGTCGGTTGTAGGGTACTTGCATCTTCAGTTCTACTAGAAATGGCCAAATTCCCCTCCACAGTGGCTATACCAACTTGCTCACACCAGCAGTGTCAGCCTTTCAAACGTGCACTTATCCGAACGGATATAAGATGCTATCTCATTATTATTTTAACTTATAATTCCCTGACTGCAAGTGTGTGTGTTAATAATTGATGATTATAGCCATTTTGGTTTCTTATTCTTTGAATTGCTCTTTATGTCCTTTTCCCACTTTTCTACTGGCTTGTCTGTCTTCTTGATTGATGTGGTTCCTCTCGCTTTCCCTTCAGTCAACCTTCTCAAGACGGGGCTACGCTTCTCTCCACTCTCGTTCACTCTCGAACCCACTGAAACCCAGCTGACCCACACATCACTAGTGAGATGTTCTCACCAAAGTCTCCAGTGAGCTTCTAGTTTCTAAATCAAACGAAAACTTTTCAGAGGTCTCCGGCAAGATGGCGGTCTAGGCAGAAGCACCACGCCGTCCCTCCACAACAAAGATCCGAAAAACTAAGCCAAACAGAGAATCAACAATCCTGAAACCCTAGAACATCAAATG